ATGTGATAGGTCCAACAAACCTCTTCCCATATAAGTATGACATAGGCAGGTACACCATCCGACAATGAGACCACATCCTACCTGAAAGACCAAGGTAATATTTAGCCACATAGCGATTAATTTTCACTTGGTAGTGAAGAAATTAGTATTTATTGCTAATAATTATAATGAATTTGTGTGTATTTCATTGATAATACAAGTATATATACAAGTTATCATACATTATTTTATATATAGGATATATACAAAGTCTTCACTAACTAATATCTCATAATTATAAGAAAGATAATATTATTGTGATGACAAGATAATCTCACTTAATCTACCCCCACACTCGAATTTGGAGGAGCACGAACATTGAGAATGCTTTTGAAGTCATCAAATAGCACACGAGATAGATCTTTGGTGTAGATATCTACGACCTGATAGCATGAGGGAATGTGAAAAACATGGATTTGACCACGATCAAGTTTTTCCCGAACAAAGTGGATATCAAGCTCGATGTGTTTTGTTCTTTGATGTTGAACAGGATTGCAGGATAGGTATATATTTCACTAACTTTGTCATAGTAGACGAATGTGGCTATGTTTTGAGGCAAATGAAGTTCTAATAGTAGATTCCTTAGCCAACATGTTTTGGATAGACATTAGCAACGCCTCGATACTCCATCTCGGCACTTGATCAAGAAAGAGTTGGTTGTCACTTTGATGTCCAAGAGACAAGATTGTTTCCCATTTAGATAGCATATCTTGATGTCGATCGTCTTGTGTCCAATCACCCTGCCCATTCAGCATCTATGTATGCGATAATGGAGTGTGTGGGTGATCTGGCGAGGTGCAGTTCGTGATGGATTGTGCCCTTTATGTAGCGTAAGATCCTTTTAAGAGTGCAAAAGTAGGTTGTTCGAGGACCATGCATATCCATGAAAAGTTGTTGAACAACATAAGGTATTGGAGCGCACCGGATAGCTTATTGTAGTGAGTGCCTCCATTGGAGAAAAGAGCGCCATCATTGTTGCTCAACTTGGATTTTGTATCGACTGGTGTGGATGATGGATGATAGCAACTCATGTGGGCTCTTTGTAAGATTTCGATGGCATATTTTTGTTGTCAGAGAAGAATGGAATTGTTGCTTCGTGTGACTAAAATGCCAAGAAAGTAGCTTAGAGGACCAAGATCTTTCATTGCAAATTCCTTAGCTAATAGTTGCATGAACTGTTGGCATAAGTGAGGTGATGATGTCACGACCAAGATGTCATCTACATATAGAAGTGTGAATTTCGTATCTGACTTGTTCTTATAGATGAACAGAGAATGATCATATTTGTTGTGTTTGATTCCTAAGGTGAACACGATAAACGGACCGTTGGTACAAAGCCCAGGGAGCTTGTTTCAGATTTTATAAAGATTTCTTGAGTAAGCAAACATGGTCCAAATAGGAGAGATCTCGAAATACCTAGGGTTGATGCATGAACACAGTTTTGTGTAAGTTCCCATGTAAAAATGTGTTTTTCTTGTCATGTTGGTGAATTTGCCATGCATTTGAAAAAGCGATGGAAAAAACAATGCAGATTTTTGTTGGCTTCACCACGGGACTAAATGTTTCTCCACACATGACTCCTTCCTTTTGACACCTACCATCACAAACCAAACAAGCTTTATATTGCTCTAAAGAACCGTCAGACTTAGTTTTGTGGCGATAAATCCACATACTCCGTACCACATTCAATATTGGAGTTTTTGGGACTAACTTCCATGTGTTATTGTTAATAAGGGCTTGTAATTCATCGTTCATGGCTGTATTCCAATCCGTATTTTTTAGAGCCTCGAAAGGAGTTTTAGGTAAAGGTAAGATAGATGATGATGTATGAAAAAGGAAAGACTGTTTTGGTTTAGAGATGTCGGACATACTCATGGTATGTATGGTTTGATTTGAGGTAGTTTGTGACATGGGGGAGGGGGTGTTGGTTCTTGCGTTATGCATTATAGGAGGTGGAGGTGGAGCGTAGATGGAACAACAAGCATGGGTGCACTGGATGGGGGGGTTTTTGGAGATGGCGTGCGAGTAATGGTTGGTGATGGGTCAGAAGTTAACCATAAGGAAGGATGAGGGTCTGATTCGGTATTGGTTTGAGTGGAAGGGGTTGATGGTGAAGATGACAATTTTAAGAATGGGAATATTGTTTCGGAAAAAATTATGTGTCAGTAAAGGATGATGGTACGGATTTTGATGTCATAGCATTTATAACCCCGATGGTTGGGTAGGTAACCCAAGAAAACACAAGGTGATGACCGTTTATTTAATTTGTGTATAGTAGTAGAAGAGGTCAGAGGATAGCAAAGACATCCGAAAGTGCATAAATAAGAATATATGGGTTGAATATTATATAGAAGGTGAATATGTGTGAGTTTATTTAAGAGATTACTTGGAAGAATGTTTAGGAGATAAGTGGCATATTGAAGGGCATGGTGCCAAAAATGTAATGGCGCCGTGGAGTGAGCAAGAAGAATCCACACCAAATTATTGATGGAACAAATTTTTATTTCCACTTTTCCATTTTTTAGAGAGGTGTGTGGACAAGAGAATCGAAACATGGTGTCATTTTGAGAATAACAATGATGAAATTTATGATTGTTGTACTCACAACCATTATCACACTGTATTGTTTTTATTGTAAAATGAAATTGAGTTTTGATGACTATGAAAAGTTAAATGAAAGCGGAATCGACTTGAGGTTTGTATGCAAGTGGGTATGTCCATAAGAAATTACTTTTGTCATTTAAAATTAAGTGATAATATCGATGACCACTAGAACTTAGCATAGGTGATGTCCACAAATCAGTGTGAATTGTATCAAAAGGTAAATGTGTGATAGAGTTTGAAGCATAAAAAGGAAATTTAGATTGTTTTCCAAACATACAAGAGGAACAAACAGGAGATGATGTTTTAGAGTTAGAGCTAAAATTCAAACTAGACTTTAAAGAAGATAAAATATCGGATCCCAGATGTCCAAGCCAATGGTGCCATAAATCCTTGGTTATTTCAGAAAAAGTTGAGGGTGTTGTAACTTGGGATTGTGATTAAAGTGTGAAGGGATAAAGGTCGCCAGAACTATTGCATCGGAAATTTTGTGTCCGCATCTGAAAATCCTTCACATCAAAACTGAAAGGTTCAAATTCCATAGAAAGATTATTGTTAGTGGTAAGCCAACAAACAGATAAAATATTTTGATAACATGAGGAGTATGAATAACATTTTTGAGAATCAAAAGGGGGGAAAAGGGTAAGGCATAATTTGATGTCTGGTACCTTGGATTGGAATAGTAGGACCATTATCGACAATCACCTTTCAAAAAGCGCGATTATTTTGATAAGATGTGAAGTTACCTAAATTATTTGTCATGTGGGAAGTACCGGTGTTGACATCCTTATTTGTATCAGGTGGGTGGAGTGACATCGTGTCGAAAGCCTGCTCCAAATCTGTTGGCGTGTAGCTAGAGTCAGAGGTAGCATAGGCTTGTTGGTTCAGCTTCCAAGAATACCAGGTCCATTAGATGAAGGTCTAGGATTGCAAAGTTGTGTAGGATAAAGACACTGTGGATAGGCCCACGGTGAGTCGTTTTGGAATGCCCAAGGAGGTGGTGTAGTCCATGGTTGATAGGAGCGTGCACCACAAGTGTATTGAGGTTGATGCGAACTGTTGTTGAAACCTCATCCCATGTTGTTGCTCGATCTACCCAGACCATGAGCTCCTCTGCCACGACCCCGTCCACGAGAAGTGGTAAAATCATATTGTTGTTGCTTGAATCGGTTGTTGTTGTCGATGTTTTTGGGGTTTATTGGTGTCGTGGAGGCTGTTAAACCGGTGACGTTGGCGTCGATGTTAGGTGATGTTGCGGCGGTGGCAGCTTGATGAGCTTTACGAGATTCTTCCATGATTAGTTTGGATCGGACTTCATAGAAATCAAGAAGAGGAGTGGTTTGTTGTATGAGCATGGCAACACCTTCGTAAATTTCATTGAGACTAACAATCAATTATAAAATAAGTCTTTGATTTGACAATGGGCTTCCGACGTTGGCAAGTTGATTCGCCAACATCTTCATAGCTTGGCAGTAGGAGGAGATGTTGGGATGATGACCGGGTCGAGACGAGCTTGGCAGTAGGAGGAGATGTTGACCAAGATGGGTCGAGACGAACTTGTTGTCAAGAAGATAGACAACCCTTGAACTTTAATTATCTTGAAAGATGTTTTCGAGAGCTTGCATAGCCAATGAGGCGGTAGTGTTAAGTTTTAGGATAGTGTGAAGAAGATCACTGGAGATGGTACTGTAGATCTGTTTTCGAGTGCTTACCAAGCCTGTGAGGCGGTAGAGTTAGGTTTTAGGATAGTGTGAAGTTGGAGATGGTATTGTAGATTCGTTGAAGAACACTAGCATCTAGACCAGACTAGATTTCAGATTCAGAAGTTACATTGGTCTTCTTTACCTTGGTAGCTGTTGAGTAAGTGGGGGCGGATGGCGGTGGTTTGACTTGGGGGGTCGATGTGATTTCCAACTTTGAAGGCACAACAGTGAATTTTGAATAACTCAACCCATGAAGTGTATTGACCATTTTTGCATTTCGATAGTGAATGGAATGAAGTTTATGATGTTTGTAACAGTGATGGTCGGATAATTTTTGAGATCCATTGAAGAAGAAGATCCGATAGAAGAAAGAAAGAGGAGAAGATCGGCGGTTGAGAAGGGTTTAAGAGGATTATGGTCTCTGATACCATGCTAATAATTATAATGAATATGTGCGTATTTCATTAATAATACAAGTATATATACAAGCTCTGATACACTATTCTCGGCTATAGTTTTGGCTAAAAACTGAATTGCATGCATTTGCATCATCAAAATAAATATATCAAAATAAATATGAGACACTCACCTGGATGCACCGGAAAGAAATATGGAAGGACCCACATCTCAGGGGGTAACGGATTATTTCCAGACCACTCAAATACCCCAAGTACCTATATATTATTAGCAACATATAAGACGAATACATACATATAGGTAACAAAGAATTATATATGAACAAGATGAAGGGCAAGTTGCTATACTGAAAGCCAAAACTTTCCCCAAGATGTTATTGAAGTGGCACCACCGTGATCCAAAATCCACTTCCGCCCCTTCTCCATCATTAGCTCCTTCACCCAGCAATCTCAAAGTGACATAGTTCAAGGCACTACCAAACATGGTGCTATGACCCTCGATGTGTAGACCCCATCCACCATCTCTATTCTGCATTTATGATATTCTTTTAGATTCTCAATGACTCTTGAAAACATACAAGATAAATAATCCCTAAGGGTAGCTAGGTTTACAGCATATAAGAAGGAACTACATTGTACGTTATTGAAATATATAGAAAAGAACTATGTTATGCATGCCTGATGATTGTAAATGTAGCGGCAGATCTCCTGTTTATGTTCTTTGGATAAGACTGCATTCAATTCCCCTGTAATTGTTAGGGTAATGACCTGATACATAGATTAACTTGCTGTCAGCATTTATATGGGTTGTTCATCTCTTGAATAAGGTAATCTATATATACAGATAAAACTCAAAGGTCCCATTCTGAGATCGAGCTGCATTTTCTAAAAAGCTAAAATAAAAGAAATTTATGGTAGACGGATGGAAAACTCAAGAAACCATAGAAGAAATACTAAAACTCACCAAACCAGGCAATAAAAACATAGGGCCCCCTATGTCTCCTGGCCAATGTCCATCGTCTGCCTGGAGGGTTGAATGGAAACCAACGGCTCTTCTTAATACATTTGTTACTTTATCCTCCGTAATATCTTCATCGTTTTTTATGTGGACTTTTGGTGGGAATACAGAGGACTCTGAGTTCTCCTTTGCAAACTATGAATTTAAAAAACAAAAACAATATATTAAATAGTATTAGATGACAAAGGGTACATTCCAATGACAGAAAACGAAAGCTAGGAATCCTGGTAATTTCGCCATTTGATTTGATAAAGGCCTTTCAAGATCACTAGCTATGACTTGTATATTTGCATGCATAGCATAGCTTATACAACATTTCCAACTTCTCTTAACTTTTTAAGTCAATTCCACTTCTTTGCTTTTCAAATCACGGGATTAAAGAATCATGACTGCCAATAATTTTGACGCTCAAAACTCGATTGCCCAAATACTTAGTAATAAAAGGCTTAAATCAACGAATTTAATTACAAAAACAAAAAAAAATCTACATCATTTTTTTATGTTTGACTTTTGGTGGGAATACAGAGGGTGGTCAGTTCTCTTTTGCAAACTATGAATTTAACAACAAAAGAAAATAGGAAATAGTATTAGTCTATTAGATGACAAAGGATACAATAGAACATTCAACACTACAGAGAAAGTATTAAGTAATGATTATGTAATTAATTGTTATTTAAAAGTATTAAGTAATGATTACGTAATTATTAAAAAGGTACAAAAAGAAACAAATAAAGATGTAAAAAAGTATAGTTTGTAGCGAAAACAATATATTTCTATTTAAAAGATAACCAATAAAAACTAGTTAAGTCAAATTAAAATAGAATGAAATGTAGTTTTAATATGACTTGTGATTCAGCTATTCATAGTGTATAAATACATGGGGGCTTAGAGGGAGGGCAAAGTAGGCAGCTGCACGGGCCCAATTTTTTTCATTATATATTTTTATTTAGAAATACAAAATTATAATAAAGATAAGGGCCCTTTTTTTCTTGTTTGTCCTGGGCGTTTAAGAATATTTCATTTTTGAGGACCGGTTAAATAAAAACTATTTGTTAATTAGTTATTCATTCAGCCATTCATATGACTTGTGATTCAGCTATCCATATGACTTATACATTTGCATGCATAGCATAGCTTATATATTAAACATGAATAAGTGACCACAGACCAATATTTTAAAAACTGGTTTGAACCGGCAGCCCAAACCACAAACCGTAGACAATAGCGGTTGAATAACCGCTGGTTTTATGTCAATTTCTAAACCAGATCGAACTGGACAGTTACTTTAAAAACCGGGTTGGAGCGGTGTGATACAACCGATAAAACCGTTTGAACCAGTTTATTGGACTTATATAATCAGATTTCAGTTAATCTGTTAAAAAACAGTTCGTTCCCAAAGCATTTAAGCAACTTGAATATTTTGGAGTATACGCAATTTCAAAGGCCGACACATAAAAATTATTGATTGAAGAGACAGTCGAATCGGTAGACCAGTTCAACTAAAAAACTGTTTCTTAAAACATTGATACTGATCCGCTGCTGCTTCTACAAAATTTCCAACTTCTCCCAACTTTTTAACTCAGTTCCACATCTTTACTTTCAAATCAAGAGATTAAAGAAACAACACTGCCAATAATTTTGACATTGAAAACTCGATTACCCAAATACTTGGTAATACAAGACTTAAGGAACAGGTCGATTTTTCTTCCAAAAATTGGTTTTGTTGCTTTGGTTTGAGACATTTTTTGTATTATTATATACATAAAAAAAGAAAGAAGTACCAACTTGACTTGCAGATATGCTTTATCTACATAAAACAGAAAGCACTTTTATTTTCTATGTGAATTTGAAATTTCCAACAAACACAGTAAATTAAATTTGCATGCAGATCAACCAGAAAAGTATTTTGTTTATAACAACAAATTAAATGTTGCAAGTTGTAACCGTTTATCCGGCTCCAGTAAACATGCGTGGTGTAAATTAATAAAAGTGTACCTGAATGCGCATAAGCAGATCTGAGCTGTGTTTTTTCTTGAACCGGTTTTCATGAAATGTCTGTCGAGCTTTCTCGATATCAGCCAGTTCCTCAGGGGACCCCAGCGTAGGATCAAACTCCCAAAATTGTCGGCCAACGTGATCGTTTGTCGTACGCAGCCATCGACTCCCTCCCTCTGCGATCTTCAGTTTCCACATTGTTTACTTCACTACCAAAATCATAAAAATAACATCACAATTTCAGTTTCATGCACAACAGCACTAACAGAACAATACAGAAAAAATAAATGGACAACTTATTACATTTTCTAATAACAATTGAAGATCAGGATTCGACTAAGTCCACGAGTTTGAAAAGCCACTACGTGCAGTAAGGCTGCAAACCCCCGTTACAATGTGTAAAATATAGGAACCGCAGCTACCTGTAGCATATCATTATCCAAGATTTAATTTTCAAAAAGTTCTTGAATAATTAAAATACTGCAAGATTAGCCCCTATAGTTTACAAAAATGCCTTTAAATTCTTTTTCTTTTAGAAGTCTTAATAAACCTCCGAAGAAAAAGATAATTGATTAAGGAGTATTCATTATTTTAGGATTGGAGCCGGTAAAAATATCGAATTTGTTTTTAAATTTAAAAGAGAATTACTAATGTAGTCATTTTTCCCTAATTATATATAAAAAAATAGTCAAAATTTAGTAATTGTCCAAAAAATAGTCCACCAAACCGTAGACAATTAGAGCTGGTTACTATTTTATCAAATCGTTTACTGTTTCAGTTAACTATAAAAAAAATTATTATTTTTTTCATTTTGAAAATCTAAAATTGTAGGTTATTTTATATCCTATGTTTTCCTCTCGACGAACTACGGTTTCCGAAACCATAGTCTCCGATTCTGGATAAAAACTCTAGGGTTTTAATTTTAATTTTTTTTAATAAACGGAGATTAGTTTTATAAAAAAATATCTTTTAACAAAATAATTGTCAAAAAAACTACTCTACATTTTACAAACAATATATTTTATCATAATAATTCTCAAAAAACTACTCTTCATTTATTTAAAAAAAAAATAAAAAAATTAAAAATGTAGACTTTTTACCGACTACGTTTTGGGAAACCATAATTCGTCGAAAAAAAACTGTAGTTTATAAAATAACCTGCTGTTTTATATTTTCGAAATAAAAAAATATTATAGTTAACCCGAAATAGTAGATGATTTGATGAAACAGTAGCTCATTGCCTTTAAAACCGTAGATTTCTTCCTATGACTGTAGTCAACACTCATTGGCTGTAGTCAACTCTGGCGGAAGTACTTTTTTTTTTTCCCTATTTTTGGCCGAACTAGTTTAGTTATTTCCTCTAAATTTAAATTATTAATCGTTCCACAAACATTTAAACTCTTTAGTCTTTTCTTTTGTTTCGTCACATTTTTTTTGATGAAACAAATATAATTAAATAAACAAACCCCCTAAATTTTACCATTTTTTCCAATTTGACTAAATACAAAAGTAAAGTTATTTAAATTAAATTTTTTTTTGACGATTTTGAGTTATTATAAACCCTAAAAACCCAAAATGTATTTTTATATTTTAACTTTTTATCATTTATTCGAGCTTTTATTTATTTTATATAAACTAATTAGAAAATGGGCCATGTGTTCATAAAGTTATTTATTTTATATAAACTAAGTATATTTGATGTCTTTATATATTTAAGGTATCATATCACATCAAGGGAACAAAGTTATTAAAATATCTAGTCATCAATTATTTGAAATATATATATATATATATATATATATATATATATATATATATATATATATATATATATATATATATATATATAGAGAGAGAGAGAGAGAGAGAGAGAGGTGGGTTCAATTGAAAAAATAAAAAAAATGTTGAGAATGGAGGAATCATTCTCAACCACTCATTTTATCTAAGTATAAAAAGATACGGTCACAAACTTGTAAATACGATAACAACCTTCAATCTCAAATACGTATCTGTAGATAATTAGATTATAGTTCAAACTCATTCATCGTTCATCATCCAAATTTTCTTCTTCATCTTTCAACAATCATCCAGATTTCTTCAATTAAATCATCATCAATATCATCCAGTGCTAATCAATCATCGATCTTCGTCAATAATTAACACGATTCAACAGTTAATAACAAAAATACGTTTTTGGTTCTTTTAATTCAACCTTCAATTGTGCTTGAATACGATCAGATCTTCAACATCTATGATTAATTATACTCCCAACATTATTAGACCAACATTATCGATAATCAACAAAAATCCACTTCATATCATTCATTCAACATTGATTATCAAATAAAACTTTAAAATTAAGGTTAAAAAAATATCAAATCGTTTTTTTTTTTTTTTTTGGAAAATTTTCATATAATTCTCTATCAATCGACTATTTTGTAAGATTTAAATAGTTAAAATATCATGTTTTTAACATTTTTTTAAAAAGTTCAATTGTATGCACTCTAACTGTTTGATGAAATGTATAAACTAAATTACTACGTTATATTCATATATAAATATATTTTCTCAGTATATGATTATTAAAACAAAAAAACCGAATATGCAAGTCTATATGTTATTCATATGTGAATAACATATAAAAATTATATATATATTTGTGAAAATACCTTGTAATATTCATATGTGAATATACTATGTAATATCCATAAGTAAATATATCATCTAATATTCACATATTTGGGCTATTGCTTAGATTATTATTATCACCAAAGATAACTAGGTTAAACCTTAATCGGTCCTACTCTTATTTGGTTAAGTCATCAATAGGTTAGGTGTCCTTACTTAACCCTAATCGTCATTTTTTATGGAACCCTAAAAGTCATTTCATGTGAAGTAGTCACTGTTGCATTTGACTATGACATGTGGTTGGGGATTGACTCAAGTATCTTTCTATAGGTGATTATAAGTGAGTTAAGATAGTAGAGTTCTTCGTTACTACTGTGGTAAAGGGTTGGGCTAAGGACATGGGCTTGGTCTCTTGTCATTTTCTTCTTTGATTGTTGGCTTGGGATCGAATGAAGACTTTTGATCTAGTCTCTTTTACTTGTTCCTTGTTTGGTTATAGTTCTATAGTAGGATCACCTGTCCGGGTGTCTATCTCACCTTTGATTATATACAGTCATGCATTTCTTGGATTGTTGATATTTAGTATACTGCTATGTTGTAGCGATCTGTTAGATCGGTATCCTGGTATCGAGTATGTTGTTATAATGTGGTAATCTGTTAGATCTATGTGTTATATGTACTTATTGGTTATCATATGGTGGAGTGCCCTAGACTGTCTGTGCGCATGTAGGATAGCCTGAGAACTGTTAATCTGGGCTTTCTTACATGTTCCTTGTTTGGTGTGGCTCTAGAGTATGATCATATGTTCGGGTGGCTATCTCACCTATGGTTACTTATGGTTATGCATTTAATGGAGTTTAGCTAGTAGCGGGATTGTATGCTATGAGAGGACTAGTAGCCAATAGTGGGATGTATGATTGATGTTTTCCTATATTATGTGCCTACTTGATCTTTAATTGTTTACATGTTAACATTTTCTTTTTGGTTTAGGTTGAGGTGGTTTTGCTTTGTGTTGTAGGCTAAGATACCTAGTGTGGGCTAGCTGCATGCCATAGGAATAGAGGCTTTGGTTAAGTTGTTGGGTTGAGGTGTTATGGTCAACAAACTCGGTATAGTTAGGCATTCCAGTCCAATGACTGATTGGGGCCTATCTCTTGTTTATATGTTTGGTTATGTGTGGTATTTTGGGGGAAACTCACTAAGCTTTATACTTATCCAACTGTTTATTGTTCCAGGTATTATCGGCATCTATAGGAAGGAAAACGCGGGACTGTACACACTCATCGGTGGCATTAAGGATTCCGCATTTTCTATGATACTTTGATTTTAATAAATGTAATTTAAAATAAATGGTTTTTCTTAATAATAGATTTATAAAATGGGAAGTTTTACCTTAATAAAAATTTTGGTTGTGCAAAATAGGATGTTACAAGTTGGTATCAGAGCCATGATTTGAGTGAATATAAGGAACACTTGTGTGAATTCAGTCTCAAACTAGGATCCAAGAGTTTTTTACAAAATGTTTTTGAAGGAAATAATTTATAATAAAAGGGTTGGGCTAAGGACATGGGCTTGGTCTCTTGTCATGTTCTTCTTTGATTGTTGGCTTGGGATCAAGAACATGGGCCTTGACTTAACTTTGGCTTTTTCAAGAAGATGTGAAAGGTCTAATATGCTCAAGAGTAATATTAAAGTGATATTGTTAAATAACATATGATACTAATGGATCACACTAACAACAACTTGATATAATTGATTATTTATTAGAAATTGATTTTAATAAATATTCAAGAAAACTCTTATAATTAAATTGGGAATTATTTGTTTCATGGAAATAATAATCTTCATTAGCATGTAACATTATATTATTTCATACGATATGAATTAATAAGTCATGCACAACTTTTTGGACTAGGTGAAAACATTTTGTCTTTTACTCAAAAGACAATGTTTTTATTTTATAAACCTTGAGTTTGTAAAATTTAAATTAACTTTCCTCTTTTTTATATAATTTTCGAAATTTGCATTAAAAAAGATAAAGATATGGCTTTCTCAAAAGTATAGATGTCTTTAAAATCATGGGGAACACTCTTATTGTAACAACATAAATTTTAAAACAAATTTTTCATTTTTGCAAACATCAAAAACCATCGTTTAATATTCCAATTTCAAACGTGAACAATGTTATCATAACAAAATACATCCCATGATCATAAAAACAGTTTCTCCATCAGTGTGTACAATCACGCCGGCGCCTTCCCACGGTCCTCGCTAGTACCTGAAACACATAACACAACAACTGTAAGCATAAATGCTTAGTGAGTTCCCCAAAATACAACTTACGCACATACGCCTTTCCAGGCCCTAACCTTCTGGTCTATGTGCCTCAGGGGACTTCCGTCCCAACTAGGTAAACCTTCCGGTCCTACCTGTGTCAACCTTACGGTCCACATCACAACGCCTTCCCGCCCATAACATATACGCCTTCCGGCCCATAACATAATGCCTTCCGGCCCATATCAAGCATATCATACATGGCACATATAAACGATTAACTTATCACATATAAT